ATAAATTACAGGGACTACCGCGACATATTTATAGTAAGATATTTATTTATAATACTTAGAAATAAGTCTTATTTCGTTGCGTGCACGCTACAATGCAAACGCACGACTCTGCTTGTACAATGTACATACACAGAGACGAAGAGCGCAAAGGCTACTCTGTGTTCTCTGTGTATAAACAGAATCTGTTTGAAGATAAAGACGACTTGAACTGACAAATATTCTTTCTAAATAGAGTGTAAACATAAAAATTTGCATGCTTAATAAATGATAAATAAATAATTTTTTATGTTTTGTGTTGTGAATGTGGCGCGATAATTGCATGGCTTTATTCACAGACTGAGTATCGCCGAGTATTGTTAATAAGTTTAAATTTCAGACGGATAAGTTCTCATTTTTTTTTATCTTATTGATATATTTTCGTTGATTCTTTTGAGTATTACACCAGTGCGAGTATTACACTCACAAAATCAAAAAAATATGATATGCATGAACAAAACAAACACAACACAACACAACACCAATTGATTTGAATTCCTTTGGAATATTTTTAAATTTTTGAAGTATAAAAAAAATTATTGACATTAAAATCCGTTGCATTCATTTAAACGATCAAGCTGCTTGTAAGAATGACAAACAGCAAACAGAATAATTATATTGTTCGTTGTGCGCACACAGCAGCAAGAACGTAAGACTCTGTTTATACACAGAGAACACAGAGTAGCCTTTGCGCTCTTCGTCTCTGCGTATGTACAAGCAGAGTCGTGCGTTTGCAATGTAGCGTGCACGCAACGAAATAAGACTTATTTCTAAGTATTATAAATAAATATCTTACATAAATATGTCGCGGTAGTCCCTGATAAATTATAGTTTATAATTGTCAGTATCTTAGATTTTTTTTATTGTAATGAACAACTTGACAGTTTTGATTACTATTGTTCTTGCAAGGCAATGTTAACAGTATCACGTGTAAATGAAACAAGTGGTTTACGCTAGGGGCTCGGAAGTATTTTTTATTGATGAAAAAACACACATAATCAGAAATATTGATATATTTTGAGTTTAAACAATAATAATCACCATATTCACGAATATTGGTACATTTTGAGTGTGAACAATACTGTGAATAATCATGAATATTCCCAATATTTTGATTATCGTAAATATGAAAATGGCGGCAAATGATGTATGTCATTTTGTGGAATGTTATTTATAAAATCAGACAAGCTTAGAACACTTTTACCTATATATTTTTGATGTTCTTCAGTCAAATTATTTTTTTATCAAAGAAATATAAGTTTTTTAGGCTGAAATCTCTTTTTATATAATAAAAACAACAACTATTAATTTTATTTTGTGTTGTGTGTGTTTTACATCGGTGCCATATACGAGCTGAATAATGACAAATAATTACGTAAATATGAGAAATATTCAAAATATTCTCAATATTTTCCATATATACACCACATTCATACAAAATTGTCAAAACTTTGTTTATTTTGATTTTTTTTTCATGTTCCGAGCCCCTAGGGTTTACGTTTCTATTCCTTCAAGGAATTTCTTTGAACTATTTTAAATAAAAACTGAATTTGATATTGCCATAAAGCTCTTCCGAATAAATTAAAGACAGTTCTTATTGCATTTATCTGATGGTGAGAAATAAAAGAAGTTGTTGGGTTTTATTGAACGAGTATTTATTTGTTAAAGTGTGCAGTATTGTGTACGTGCAGCTGCTGTAAGCAAAAGTTAATGTTCTGAAGTTGGTAGACAGCCCATTGCTTCAAAAGTTCATATTTCACGCTCAGGTCGTATCTGGATCATTATGTAAAAAACTATCGTTTATACGAATTGGAATCCATTTTTATGGATCCTCACACTTAACCTTGCGCTTACGACTTACTCATGTTTCTTCAACGTTTGAAAAGAATAGTTAGGAAAAATGTGAAAGAATAAAAACATTGACTTAATTGTAAAATATTTTAAATAACACGTTCATTTAGTATTCATCACTGATAGTGATATATTTCGTCTGTGGTTTTCAAAATATTCAGTATGTTTTAGTTTCGAAAATGTAACATTAAATGTTAGTTTTTTGATACAAGATTTTTAATGACTCCTCTGCAACTCAGTAAGTTAACGTGAAATATTCTCTCTTCATGAGCTAAGGTACATTTCAAAATGAATTCAAATCATACATCTGAATGTTCTCATTTAAAAGATACGATTACCCATTACAAGCAAATCGTAGCACTGAAATAAAGAAAAAAAAAAAACAAACGAAAGGAGAAAAACAGAACTAACGAGCAATGCGAGTCTCTAATGTGACGACTAATTCCATCTTAAGAAAATTATTTGCATTTACCATATGTTTTTAACGTGCTCGGTTGCGTTAATTATTGAGTATCATGATGTACACATATCTATAGATTAGATCTAAGTATACTTAAGCGATATTTGTGATTGCAAATTTTGAGCATCTTAAGCCATTCTCAATACATTGAAAACATACAGTTAGTTTTGCATACAAATGGATTGTTTCAGGCTCTAACCACCGAGAACGCTTAAGAACTCATTCATTTGTATTCTTCTGCCATATACCTTTTACAATTTAAATTCAATGGACCAAAGAAACAAGCGAGCTCAAACACACACACATACACACACTAACACACAACAAATATATTAGAAATGAAAGATTTTTGCGTTAGCATTCATCGAAGCTGGGAATCGAACTATATATACTTCAAATGGGCATCCAATGGACGATATTGTTTTCCTTTTTTCCAAATGAATTTGATATATCAATACTGTCACTTAAAAATTACACAGTCATTTTAATGAACTTAATTAATTCAATTACACGTAGTATGATTGCCTATGGGGGGCAATATAAAAGAAAACGGTTGGCAAATCAAATAAGGAACAAAAGGGTAAAATGTAAAGAAAACACTCCATTCCACTTGTATTTTCCTTAAAACTCTACGCTGCCTGCACACATGAACAAGAGGCCAAAGTGAAATAAAATATCAATTAAATCCAACCCTTTTTCCCGTGTTAGTTTATCATTCATTCGTTCTGTCACTCGTCGGCACATAATCACACACTTGCCAAATGCCACCACACTTTCTCACTGATGAAAATGAGACAAAACAAAAATTGAATACATTAAGTAAAAAGGTATACATAAAGAGAAAGAGACATTTTCTTTATTTAAAGATTAAACCACATCAAAAACGAATTGGCTTGATTGGCCCAGATCGAACCATCTCAATTTTGTTGAATCTACACTTCAAAAGGTTGCTGAAGTTAAACGAGTTTAAGAAGATATTTCTCATTTCTTTATTTAATGAACATTTAAAAAGCTGACTACCAAAAAGGCCTGAAATGTACAATTTATTATCGATTCAGATTTTACCTGAAACAAAAGTGATCCAAAAAAATATATACGTGAATTGATATGATTCATTATATACAGCGATAGTTAAGACGTATTAAAGTGTTAGGATTAATAAAGCAACATTTTCTGAATAAATTCGGTGAGAAACAAATAATAATCTAATGCAAAAATATCCATAGTGTACAAACTCTATTTGAGTTTATCAGTGAATCAATGCGTAAATTGAAAAATTTATTATTTCAATAAAAAGCGTTTGGAAAGTTCAAAAACACACAAGTATCGTTAAGGTGAGAAGAAGAGATAAATAGAGATAGAAGGAAAGAATGGAAAGCAAAGATCTACTTTTAAAATGATAAACGAAAGTGGAAAGGTGAAAAGTAGAAAATATGATTATGATTATATTTCTACTGATGATGACGATGTGATGTTGTATGTCTGGTATATTGGAGCGCGCGCTCAATTATATTGGCAACAAGAGAGCTCAGACATTGAACCCTTTTAAGTTAAAGAAAATCAGTTTAGTATCAAAACATTAAAATGTTTCTAACCAGAGATAGAGAGAGAGAGAGAGAGAGAGAGAGAGAGAGAGAGAGAGAGAGGGAGTATGAATTGAAACTCTGTGATACATACACTTTTTTCCTCTTCTATCTTTCATTCGATCTTGTTGGTCTTTTTTTAATATTCTCGTCAATGGTGCATCTCTCTTTCTCTGTTTATTTCACATAAAAGCGAAAATCATAAAAAGCATTTTTCTTTGGGTGCTCTTGCAACTTATAAAACGCAAAGTATATATCGAAGTGAGTGTAGTTAAGAAGAGTCTATTTGAATCGTTGCATGAGAGAAAAAGAGATAGAGACTCATCTTACTTTGACTTTTCTTACTTTGAATGTTCAATGAAACATCGGTTGAAAAGTACTATTGTGATCAAAAAGTACACATAATTGATTAAAAAAATTAAAAATCTTTATTTATTCTTCTAAATTCATTTCGTCGCCTTCGAAGTAATCCCCCTCGGCCGCAATGCACATACGCCAACGTTTTTTCCAGTCTTCGAAACAGTGTGAAAATCCACTTTCAGGTATGGCCTTCAATTCACGTGGCGATTCACGTTCAATCTCTTCAATCGACTCGAAACGATGTCCACGGAGCGGTTTTTTGAGTGTAGAAAAGAGCCAGAAGTCACACGGTGCCAAATCAGGCGAATATGGAGGTTGCGGAACGATATGAGTTGAATTTTTGGCGAAATAATCACGAATAATTAATGCAGTGTGAGCTGGTGCATTATCATGATGCAAAAACCAAGAGTTGTTTGCCCATAATTCCGGCCGCTTCTTTCGAATTGCTTCACGCAAACGACGCATAACATTCAAATAATATTCCTTGTTAACACTTTGGCCGGTTGGAAGAAATTCGGAATGCATCACACCACGATAATCGAAAAATACTGTCAACATAACCTTGATTTTTGACCGACTTTGACGAGATTTTTTTGGTTTGGCTTCACCTTTTCAAACGATATTCGGCGGACTAATCGGCTGTTTCTGGGTCGTATGCATAGATCCAAGTCTCATCTCCCGTAATGATCCGTTTTATGCACGATTGATAGTCAGAAAGCATTTCTTGACACACGACGCTCTTTTTCGATGAAATTCAATGTTTTTGGCACTAATCGAGATGCACAACGTCTGAGACCCAAATGATCTTTTAAAACGGTTTGGATCGACCCAAATGAAATGCCAGCAATATCAACAAGGTCTCTAATTGCCAATCGACGGTTTTTTTGCACAAGATCTTTTATTTCCTTGACGTGTTGTTGATTAGTTGATGTTGTTGGTTGTCCGGATCGCATTTCATCTTCTACACGTTCTCTGCCCTCTTTGAACTTCTTATGCCACTCATAATAGTTGGATTGATCACTGAAGGCCTTTTCTAACATTTCACACGTTTTTATGGCCGAAATTTCGTTCCGCACACAAAATTTAATGCGAATTCTTTGCTCAACAAAATCTGTCATTATGAAAATCGCCAAAAGAAATTTTGTGTATGCACATCAACAAGTGTAACTCAACATGTGATGCAGATATTGACATGATATTTTGTACAGTTATAAATGACAGTGCTACCAACCCACAAAAAAATATTTACACGATTTCTTCATCCCGCGGATTTGAAATTATCAATTATGTGTACTTTTTGATCACAATAGAAAGTGACAATACCAAAGTTGACATGTATAATTCACAAAGACAAGAAAGATAACGAAATACAAAAAAAAACTAATAGACCCGGCCAAATCTTTTTGCAAGTAATACGAAAAATATTAGATGAGAAGTAGCTACGGAGAACAGTCGAGAATATATGTACTTAAAATAGAATTATCTTCGCTAATTTTATGCTCCGTGTTGTCTTCTGTTGCACGGTGATGGTGGTGGTGGCGCTAGGATCTTTGATACAGCAATAACAAGATATGATGTAAACAAGAAAATATACGGTATTTTCTCAAATAATCAACAGTTATGAGAATGACTCTAGAAGGCCTGCTTGAAACTTCTTGTGTCAATCTATGTATAGTCAAGATAAACTATTCCATTTGGGTACAATGTTGGATTTTCTATTATCAAACATTGTCCATATCACATTTCAAAACACTCTAGTTGGCAACGAAGATGATGAACAATTTTTTTTATGGAAACAATTTATTGTATCTATTTTAGTACTTCACTTTCTTATTTTCAATTTCGGCCACTAAAAGAAGAAGAAGAATCTCGGAAAAGCAAAGATAATGGGAGAAAAAGTTACCAAGTAGAAGACAAGCAATTGACATTCGTTGATATTTACCACTTTGTGTGCAGTTCTCTCTAATTCGGAAAATAAAGTACGCAAGGAGCGGCCAGTCCATCGTTTTAATCCGCTTAACAAAAGTCTATTTTCGGTTGTTTAAGTATGTTTGCATGAATAGATGAATTCTAGTGTGTCCAGAAGTTTTCTTGAATTTATTTGGTATACCAAAATATTTCTTTACTATCAAAATGATAACACAAACAACACGTGAAAAGGAAAAACACAAACAATATCTTAGTTTTCCCGGCTTTTTCGAACGTCATTTCAATGAAAAGCATAGAGAAAGATATTATGTGGCGATTATTTTGAGATTGTCTTCCGATTGTTTGCAATTGCACACTTTTACCTAACTACTACTACGTCACAACACTTATCACAAAAATGCATCAACCCGCTTTCGATATGATTATATATATGAAATAAAATTGTTGCCATAAATATGACGAATATAAACAGTTTTTGCTTAAATTCGGTCTAACCTCTCTACTATTGGCATTCATGTATGTATTGAAATGTATTGTGTTTTTCCAAGATTTAATGTAGGTACAGTGTACACTTAGTTATGATTTTTTTTATTTATTCAAGTGGTTTTTCACGAACTGTATCCTAATTACCGTATTAATTTGATTTCAACGATATTTGTACCATCGAGCCTAAAGATAATGCTTATCTCTATGGGGGGCTATAATAAAAAACAATAACGATATTTAGAAATACAAACATATTTCCACGCAAATATGTATTGATACATTGATATATGCACCGCGCATGAATTGTTGCGGTAAAACATAAAGCGATGTGTTTGGCCAAGAACAAAAACAATCTAGCTGAACCAACGAAAGCCACTCAATGTCTGCTACGTAATTTTTTTATTATTTTATGGAACGAAAAATGAATTAATACATCTCAGTTAATGTGTACTATAGTATGATGATGAACGACATAAGCTAAAAGTGACCATCCAAATTAATTAAATCGAGCACAACAATCATAAGAATCAAACAAAAAACACCATAGATAATTTCATTATAATCCATAATAACACAACCATAAAAGCAACCATCAAGATTAGTACCAAACCAAAAATTCCCTCGAACCATTACCAAGTGGACCGATTTTGTAAACACAAAAAAATCTCCTTCTCCCTTAATAAAACTGGTTAAATAGTTCACTTTATGGAATTTTGTATGTAATATAGTACATATTGTTGTATGCAATGGAGTATGCAGCTATGACCTACGTTTTTTGCTATTCATACACTCTTTTCTTCTTCTCTCACTCTATCTGTAACACAAAGACACGTACATACATGCATCTGAATACGGGGGGTCTTTTTTAATACATTTAAAGAATGAAAGTATGAGTGTTTATACTGTATAGTGAATACTCTAAATAAATATCATCGTATCACAGAAAAATAAAGAGGGAACAATATTTACACGCCATACAAATTGGATGCAGAATTGATATATCTTATAAACTTCTACGGGGTAGAATTCAAATATGAACGGCATTCATTATGATAAATACATCTGATCATTATGGAACCTTGAAGGGTACAAGATCTTTTGATTGCACTCGTAAATGTTGAGTTTGGTGAACAATGAGTGGTGACTCTGTTGTGAAACCTCAAATTCACCAAAAAAAATCAAAATGAATTATTTCACATATTCGGAGAAAAAAAAGACTATGTTGGAAAAGACGTAGACTGAACAATGCAATTGAATCAAATTTTTATTTCACAGTGGTGAAAAATAGGGCGAATACGAACCGAAGGAAAATTTGGTTGGAAGCATAGATGATGACGTAAAAAAATTTAGGGGGGGGGGGGTGATGTCAAAATTCTGTAGGGGGTTCCTGGAAAAATCCATGGGGGGTCCCTGACGATGTCAACAATTTGTACGAAATGAGGATAAAATCGTTTTTTTTTTTTGGAAGTCACTTTTTTGGCAAAAATCCCTAGCAAATCGAAAGAATTTTTCAACTCCAAATTCTTTAGCAAATGACGATAAAATCGTTTTTTTTTGCTCTTCACTTTTTTGGCGAAAATCCCTAGCAACACGGAACTGTACAATTCGTATGTTGACAAAATGAATTCTTCACTGAAGTCCGACTCAACATCGTTCTGGCGTTTTGTCAACACGAAGAAAAACAGTGACTGTGACCCAAAATCGTTGCATTATGGTGACAAATCATCGGTTGATAAGATGGAACAAGCTGAAATGTTTGCAACATTTTTCAAAAACAATTTTGCAAATCAACCATCTCTAATTCAATCGACAGCACAAGCGTCAACTCAAACAAACTCTAACGTTAATAATTTCATTCTTAACGAATTCTCTGTTTTTGACGAGTTGCTAAAAATTAACTCTAAGAAAGGCGCGGGACCGGATGAAATTCATCTAATCCTTCTTAAAAATTGTGCTGCCTTATTATACGAACCGCTGTCAATGATTTTCAATGATTCGCTTTCCACTGGACACTTTCCTACGAGATGGACCAATATTCAAAAAGGGATCACGCTCTAACGTTGGAAATTATCGGTGCATTGCTAAATTGCCAACGATCGCCAAGTTTTTTTTTTTTTTTTTTATTTATTCACCGTCTGATCACAGACTGAATTTATCTCAAAATTTGTACAATATCGTTTACAATGAAACACTACCCGATCGATACCCAGCTACCAGCCTTTTCGACTTCGGAGTAGCAGATATCGATTGTGTTCACTGTTAATTACTGTTTATTACTACATAAAAGTTACATTTTTCACCTATCAATAAAAATCACATTTTCCAATTTGACAATACTATTTCTAAAAATTTGTCTTGATGCTGATGCCAAAAATTGTTCTCTTACTAAGTTAAAATTTCTACAAGCCACGTAAAATGGTTGATTATGTGCATAGTCTGAAGGAAACGCTCTGACCCTAATCAGTTCTGTATTTCTTAAATTTCTCTGGTTTTCGTTATATTGCAGTCTTGTATATACAATTTTATTTCTTAGTGAACTAGACACTATTTTACCCAAAAGGAGGTCATAAATTAAAAATATAGAGGCATTTATACGCCGTCTCCAAAGCGGTTGAATATTTAAAACATCACATCTAAATTGATACGGTGGTAGCACAAAATTCTCGTCTCTTTGGTAAATAAATCTCAATGTCCATATCACAAAATCTTTCTGAATTGATTCTATTCTATTGGAATGGATACGGTGATATGGTTGCCATACAATACTCGCGTACTCTAACTTTGATCTTACTAGTGCACAGTATAACATTTTTGCAGATTCAATCGTAAACTTATTCTTTAATGTGCGTTTAATAAAACCCATTGCCCCATGTGCACTGGCTGTAATCGCGTCGATGTGATTGACAAATGTCAGCTTCGTGTCAAATACAACTCCCAGATCCTTGTGTATGTTGATCCGTTCAAATGTATGTTGGCCGTTGTTGATCGCATAATCATAGTTGACTATGTTTCCGCTTTTTGAGTATGTCATAACGAAACATTTCTTCAAGTTCAAATGCAGGCTATTTTCAGTACACCATTCGCTCAATTGATTAATGGCATTTTGAAATAATAAGGCATCTATAGGCGATTGTATGGTTCGGATCAATTTCAGATCATCTGCGAATAATAAAACAAGTGCATTTGATACTATTTCGACAATGTCATTAATAAAAACAATAAAAAGACAAGGTCCCAAAATACTTCCCGCTGGTACACCAGATGACACAGTGAAGGTCCGTGACCTTCTTTCACCGATTCCAACAAACTGCGTTCGTTCTGTCAAATAACCATGTATCCATTTGACAAGCTGTCGTCCGAATCCGAATCCTACCAGCTTCTGCAACAATTTCTTGTGGTTCACACGATCGAAGGCTTTCTCAAAATCGGTGTACAGCACATCTGTTTGACATTTTTTGACCATTGAGTCCATCGTGAAATTTACCATTTGGAGTAAATTTGTTGAGGTTGATCGATTTTTCACGAATCCATGCTGATTATGGATAATTTTGGAGTTTACAAATGTGTCGATTTTGTCATACACAACAATTTCAAAAAGTTTGGCTATTGTTGGTATGATCACTACTGGCCTGTAGTTCGCTGCATTGCTCTTTTTACCAGCCTTGTAAATTGGCACAATTCTGGAATTTTTCAATGCTGCCGGAACACATCCTTGATGCATCGATTTACAGAATAGCGCTGTTAATGGTTTCGACAATGAGTGTGCGCAGTTCTTTAACACTTTCGGCGATATTCCATCAGGACCGGCTCCTTTGTTCTCGTTGATGGATTGCAATGCATTCAACACATCGGCTTCAGTGATGTCAATGTCAAATGATACGTCTCCGCATTCATCCAGCAATTGATTCAAGTCGATAATGTCGCTTCGTGTGTACTGATTTTCGAAAAAATCAGCGAATAATTCTGCTTTCGATGTGTCTGTGTCTGCAGTCTCATTGTTGTATTCAACAGTGGCCGGAATATCACTTCTCTTTCTTCTGTCGTTTACAAATCGCCAAAAATGTTTCGGATTTAATCTGATTTGCGATTGTATGCGGCTAATGTACGACTGGAATAGTTGACTTTGCAACTGTAAAAACGAATCCGTGATGGTATTGTATTCGTCAAAATTGCCAGTCTCTCTTGCTCGTTTGTATGTTTTCCTCCTAACATTTTTCATGTGCTTCAGATGTTTCGTGTACCATGGTGGATCTGTGCTTTTTTGTACGGTGATTTTTGGAATAAATTGGCCTATTGCCTCGTGTAGAACATTGCCAAATAATTGGAATGCATTCTCGAGGTCATCAATTCGATTTATTCCCAACAAAACATCATTTGTAACGAAAAATTCGTTCATCGCATCGAAATCGGCCGAGTTGTATGCATATATTTCCGACGCCTGCGGGGTTGTGGGCTCATTTCCATCAATTGTCACTTCGACTTCAATTGCCTTGTGCCAGATGTCGGATTTTACCAATGGTCTTGTTGATTCAATCAACGACATCTCATAGAAATTGTTTGTGAAAACAAGATCCAAAACATTTCCGGCCGGATTAACAATATTTGACAGTTGGTGGAATCCACAGTCGAACATTGTGTCAAAAACAGCAATGCCACCTTCTGTAGACACATTCATTGGCAGATAATAATTACCATCGTCTGCTCTGATCCATTTGACACCGGGCTGATTAAAATCGCCGCAGACAATCACAGTGTCATTCTCATTGAATGGAATTAACTTCACAATCTCCGAGAATTCCAGGAATTTCATAGTCTCATGTACTGACCGAATGTACACAGCAAATACATATACATTGCACGAATCGAAAGCAATTTTGACACATACATGCTCCAGGCCACTATTCTCCGATAGTATCACTTTCTCACTGTTGAATTTGCATTCCACAGCGATCAAGACACCACCACCGTCGATTCTGTCGCTTGTGTGTTCCGACCGATCACCACGATACACGTTATATCGTTTCCCGAAATGCTCAATGTTTGTAATACTTTTTTGTAGCCAAGTTTCAAAGAAAGAGATTATCTGAAATGGAATTTCTCAAATCTGATGGTTGATTTGAATTGTACATATTTTGTACATTTTAACGACGTATACACTGGAGGTGTACGAAATTTAAAAAAAAAAATCCGTAAATCGAACTTTTTTGATTTTTGAACTTTTGGCTCCAGATAGTGACCCGATGAAAATTTTTCAAATCTGATGGGTGATTTGAATTGTACATATTTTGTACATTTTAACGACGTATAACTTTGGTGTTGTACAAATTCGGGTAAACATTTTCCGGGTTTTGATATTTTCAATTTTTAAAAATCCAAATTCTGAAAATTTTTTGTTGGTACATAATCATAATAATTGTTGTACATAATTGTACATAATTAGTACATTTTAGTAGTATATACGATTTTTCGAAAATTGACATCGACCGGAAATTGACTACCTATCCATTTCGTGGCTAATCGTATCTCATCGACTTTGTCTCGAATAGAATGTGTATTCTGAATATACACATTTAATTTGATTTGATTCGAGACTATTTTTGGCGAGGTTTTTGCTTGTTTTTGATGTGGTGTCAATGTTTGTTCTATTTCTCTTTCGGTGATGGTGATTTCGTTGTGCTCGATGTTTGTGCGAGTCCGTTCGGTGATTTCCCAGTAATGTTGGTCGTTGATCCGGTAAAATCCATTAAATCTGTTTCCGGTGGCTTGCTGATGTTTTTCGGATTTAATGCAGGGAAAAAATCACCTAAAGTTTTGTTCTGCAAGAACTCACGCACAAGAACATCTTCTTCCCACACTTCCGGATTGATCAAAATGTCAAAATCGTCCTCAAGTTTTTCGAATATTTGAATAATTTGGAGATCAGCAAGATGGTAGCTGATAAAATAGTTCCATAACAACATGCTTTTATGAAAGGTCGCTCGACTTCGATGAATCTTTTAGAATTCCTGCAATATTCTATCAATGCAGTGAACGAAGATAAGAAGGTAGAAGTACTTTATACTGACTTCAGTAAGGCATTCGACATTGTTGATCATTCGATTTTGATTTCAAAGCTGAAAAACTTCGAACTGCCTCCTAACCTGATCGAATGGATCAAATCGTATTTGTCAAATCGTCGTCAATTCGTGAAATATGGGCAAATGGAGTCAAGTGAGTTTGTCGTTAACTCAGGAGTTCCTCAGGGAAGTCACTTGGGCCCCACACTATTTCTGCTTTTTATCAACGATATTGTAAATTCCATTAAGGAGGACGACATTTTTATCTCTCTGTTTGCTGACGATTTGAAATTGGAACCTTCAATCGCTAACACCAATGACTGTATCAAAATCGAATCGTGCCTGCGTCAATTCTCAATGTTTGCACTCAAGGAGTATCCAAACGTTTCAAATGACTACAGGATATCATCGTACAGCACTCGCCTGGGCAACCTAAACATGCAATCACTCCAAAGGCGCCGTATCAACGCATCAATTTTATTCATTTTCGACTTGATGCAAAATGAATGGTTAAGAATAATAATGAAACTTAATTTTGGTTCAAACTGGAGTGTCCCGCAGAATTATTTCAAATGAAAGTGTCCCGAATATTTGTTTCAAACTAAAATGTCCCCACAAAATAGATTCATGTAAATTTTCCTAAGTGCCATTTTCATTTGCAATAAATTTGAGGGACACTTCGATTGTAAACTTTTTTTTGAGTCCTATTCATAGAAATTTTTTTGGGGGACAGTTTGAGAAAAAGTATTTTTTTGGACATTTCAATCATAATTTTATGTACTATACGTATATGTATGAGAAGTGAGAAAAAATCTGTTCAATAGGTATCACATAGCAAGTTTATATGAAACTCTCGGAGACTCGGTATCAACCGGCTAAGCCTATGAAGAGACAAAATGCGAATTTCCCTCATCTGTGCCATCTTGTATTCCATAGTTGAACTCAATTTAGTTACAATGAATTGAATCGAAAAAGAGAAAAAAAACAACAACAGTAACATGGCTACATAGATCTGTTGACCAGTGAGATACGTATAGCAATGGAATGAAAGAATGAAGAAAGCGTATATGTGTATGTATGCATCAGCACGCATAGATGTACAGCTCTGTGTGGCCGTGCTATTGTTGTTGTTTTTTCACTTTTTCATTTCAATGCTACAGAATTAAATTCAGTTTTTGCATCTAATTCACACTAAAATCAGATGGCGCTCATTAGCGAGATTCGCAAAAAAAAGTCTCCAATCTCATACAAATATACACCGGCTGTATAGTACATAAAATTATGATTGAAATGTCCAAAAAAAAACTTTTTTCTCAAACTGTCCCCCGAAAAAATTTCTATGAATAGGACTCAAAAAAAAGTTTACAATCGAAGTGTCCCTCAAATTTATTACAAATGAAAATGGCACTTAGGAATATAATTTGACTTAGGAAAATTTACATGAATCTTTTTTGTAGGGACATTTTGGTTTGAAACAAATATTCGGGACACTTTAATTTGAAATAATTCTGTGGGACACTCCAGTTTGAACCAAAATTAAGTTTCATTATTATTCTTAACCATTCAAATAACGTTCACTGCCCATCACTGAAGACTGAAATTGCCCGAAATCAAAATGGACGTAACTTGAGATGTGTCGAGTACTTCAAAATCAATGACAAAAGCTTCAGAATCAATCCATCAGTACCAATCAACCAAATGTGCAAAATGTCAAACAAGGTCCACGAACTATTTTCAACGCAATCAAAAAGTTCAACTTTCAAAAATCGACTTTTTGTCCGCGTGCAATTGTAAATTTGTAACCGCGTGCAATTTGAAATTTTTTACTATTTATAAGTTTTTTTTGCTGTTCGACGGTAATTTTAACAGTTTACTATTAACTACTAGCTATTACTGTAAGAAGTAGCTAATTAGTTATTAGAAATCTTTATTAAAAGATGTGGTTTTTAACGGTGATCAGATGTATACCAAATGTGTATCACTGATTCATACCTCTTTCCCACCAACAAATGTATAAAAAATTATGTACAAACTCAAAAGATTCAGCCAGTCTTGGCAGTGAATAAATATTATTATTATTAAATCAAAAGAATTTTCCTACTTCAAATTGCCTTGCAAATCCAAAAATGGCAGAAAAATCGTTTTTTTTTTGGAAGTCACTTTTTGAGGTGAAAATCCCTAGCAAATCGAAAGAATTTCTCGGCCAAAAAAAGTGAAGAGCAAAAAAAAGGTCCTCATTTCCAAAATTGTTGAGGGTTCCTAAAAATATTTTAGGGGGGTCATCCGACCCCTAGGAACCCTCGTCATCACCTATGGTTGGAAGGCACTATAAGACTAATGATATGTTGCTCTAAATTTTCAAATTGATTCGATTTTGTATTGAATTTGGATTGATTGTGAAGAGGAGATGTAATTCAAGAATTTTAAGAATTCAAAACCATATGTGAGTTGAGCTGAATCTCAAAAATCGACGCGAATACCATCATGATTCCGTCAATTGGATGACGTAAACAAACGTGATCGAATTAATATACTTATTAAAACTGTTACAGTAGATCTTCTAGTTGGTTTTAAGTCGAAAAGTAATAGAAAAATGGTGAAAAACATATGGACAAATCAAATAATGTAAATTTCCGAAAAAGTAGATTTTTCCACTCCTGATATCAATCCTTCTGATTACTACTAATTCCAATCGATGCCATGCACCGTTTTTTATCAGCACTGTTAAAACTTTTAAATAAGTCGAAAAATGACTGCTAGATACGCAGAAAAAACGAATAGTTCTTTCGACACGGAATCTGAAAGTTATCTGAAAGATATGAAAAGTAGTGGCTAATGATGGACAGTACCTGAAAAGTGAACGATGGTAACGTTCAAATACGTTTTAAATTTTTTGTCGATTTGTTGTTGTGCACACAACAAATTTGTGCCGTTTTTAGTTTCGTTAGCAACCGCAACAATGGAACATCGACTATGAATCGAAGTACTTATTAGTACAAAGTTTTTTGATGGCGCTGCTGATATACACGTATTCATACCATCAAACCAGTCATACAATCTACTAATTTTAAAAAATTGAAAAGATTTTTTAAACTTTCTTAACTTTTTGTAGCAAAAGTAATTTTTATCATACCGTGCTTAAGGCAGACGTATGTGTATGCACAGAGCGGACTATATCTGGTTATTAACAGCTGCTTTTTCAGAAATCTCCCAAAAGCGTGGAGTAATATTTGCGGAAAATCGTGTGGCAATAATAAAAAATGTTTTATGGCTCTAAAAAATATTAGATAATGTTGATCATTTTTCAATAGATATAGCATGCCTTGTAATTGGAATTTTAAATTATATGTAGTTAGTAACTACTAGTTACACCAATTTATCACTAAATTCATTGGTAACACGGCACAATTTTTTCATACTTTTCTTTTCAATTAAATTTGGAAAAGAGATAACTATATAGTTTCATATATGAGGTTATGAGGTTAAGAAATTCTCTATTTCAATTCAGTTTCACGAAGTATTCAGTTAGAAATTGGACAACTCATTTAGATACTTCTTCCTTTGTCTGTCTTACATAGCTGTCTTTTTTTAAATCAAATAAGAATTTTTTTGAGTAATCGAATTATATGTAAGTTAAATTACCTCGTTTCAAATTTGCCAAACACAACGAAACGAATAGAATGAAAATCCTTCATCCATTTCATTTTTGCCTTCATATTTCACTGTTTGCGTCCAAAATGAACAATGTGACACA